CCTTCCTTTCTTCCTTCCTTCCTTCCTTCTTTCCTGAGAGAAAACATATCTTCCTTCCCTTCCCTTTTCCTCTCTCCCTTCCTTCCTTCCTTCCTTCCTTCTTTCCTGAGAGAAAACATATCTTCCTTCCCTTCCCTTTTCCTCCTTCCCTACCTCCCTTCCTTGCAGAAAAACCTGCTTATTTCAAAACTCTCTGAAGACTCTTTGATTCAATCAAAATGGGGGGCTTTATCCCCAAAGATCAGGTCCCGCTTCCGTGCTCCATGGGAACCCCGTATAGCCAATGCACCTCCATGTTTTCTGCCTGCTTTTATTTTTGACAGCCGGTGGTTACGTCAGCCTATAGCTGTCTCTGGACGTAAAGCTCTTATTGGAATGGATGGATGTTTTTCTCTGAGCAGTAATTCATGTCATTACCAGATCTCTTGCAGCAGTGTGGGGGGGGGGAGGGAAGGGGTCTGCCCCATTTCTTCCAGCAGGATAAATATAGACCATAAGCATGGAAATGGGTTGTTATTTTCTGTAAAAAAAAAATTTTGGGAAATATGTACGTTGGAGTCCCTGCTAAGGACGTGGTGCAGTTCATAACTCCAGACAGGCCAGCCCTGTTCTGTGGTTAGGAAATGAACCAGAGAGGCAGGATGCAAATGATATATAAGAGGTCTTTTGATTTGTTACGTCCAATTAATGTCCAGGCCTGGACCCCATTCCAAGTCATTTGTCTTCAGAGAACATCAAGTTCTGTTTAAGAAGAGGGGGCAAAAAAAAAAAAGGAGAAGCTGGTTTCTAGTCCATAAGAATGCACAGTGGTGCTTGCCTAGAACCTGGATGTTGGATGTATGCTCCGAAACCTGTATTATTATTTTAGTTCACAGCGAGATGTTCAGAATGGACTTGGAGTTGAAGTCCACAAGTCTTAAGGTTGCCAAGGTTGGAGACCCCTTGGAGGAAGACGAACAGCCGACAGGGAGTGGGAGTGTGGCTCCATTGGCTGTGGAGGGCAAAGTCTGGCTGGGCAGAGCAGGGGAGAGGTAGAACAAGGGAGAGGGGGTTCAGAGGAAGACCCAGGCCCACCCACTCCTAATCCTAGGGCACACAGTGGCTTATTGAGAATATAAGAATTGAGGTAGATGAAGAAGGTTGAGGTCTTATTTTCTTTGGGGGAGAAGGCGAGGGGCTTCATTCATTCATTCATTCGGTTAAAAATGCTGGCTTAACAATAGATTTGAATTGGCATGGATTGTTGTTTTAATTATATATTTATAATTTTTTCTCTTTTTAAAATATAGTGTGTAACTTTAGAATGTACTAAGCAGAATCCGAATGGAAGTTATGTATTATATTAAGTGTTATAAATTTAGGGGAAAGATATAAAGGCGTCATACTCCAATCGGTGATTACAGGAGAAATTTTGTCTAATGAGAAAAGATAATAGACAGCTGGAAACAGGACAAAGAATATAAGTATAATGATCTGAATTGAGATGAAATAAATAAAATAAAATTAAGCAAGTTAAAAGAGGGGAGAAGCTATATAGAAAACGTAGAATGGTAATAAGATATGGAATGGTATATAAAATGAACATGAATTTGAATTTGTGTCTGTACGAAGAGATGTAACCCGGGATCAAGCTGCTTTCAAAAAAAGATGTTTTATGTTTTTATGTTTTGTTTGTTTATGTTTGTTCTTAAAAATCAATAAAAATTTTACAACAAAAAAAAATGCTGGCTTCTAGGAAACAGTGACTTCTAGTCCTGCCTTAAGCATGACAACCGGATGGGGGACTTTGGGTGAGCCACCAGGTGGAGGTGAGTTCTAGTCCTGCCTTAAGGGTGAAATCTTTATCGCCCTCTTTTTTTTAGATGTCTAAAGGGGGGAAAAAATTGAAAGAAAAAAAAAATCCACCGAGATCCAGCCCTGAAATCAAGTAGATTAGAAACAAATTAAATTCACTCGGCGTGGGTGACAGTTTTTGAAATGTCACCAAATGTTCAATCACACACTTTTTTTAAGCCTGCAGGGAGAAGTCTGAATGAAAAACATATGTTGGGGGAGGGAAGTAGGTGGAAAATACATCCAGAATCCCTGCTAGGGAAAATTATCCAGACCAGACAAATGAATTATTTTGAATAAGATTTTTTTTTCTTGTCCATCAAGAAGATGAACCGGAATACTTCTTTATTAATGGGGTTAGGAAAAACGCTGGGTTTATATTGATAAATAGTAGTATATTTCAGAGACCAGTGCAGACAAGAAGTAGTAAATTTCAAGGGGGGAGAGGAGGAGGAAGAGGAAGAGGAGAGAGGGAGGAAGGAGAGCACAGGAAGGAGGAAGGAGTGGAGAGAAGGAGAAAGAGAAGAGCAAAGGAGAGAGGGAGGAAGAAGAGGAGGAAGAGAGGAGGTAGAGAAGAGAGGAAGAGGAAGAAGAGGATAAATAGCAAACGGATGAATTGAATTACTGTGGCAGTGGGAGCACCGTGGAAGTAGCTGGACCAAGTTAGAGACGGATTGTCATGGAGAAAAATCTATCTGTGTGGTGGCGAAGAACAGACCACAGTTTGATGGCACATAATCAATCAATCAATCAATCGATGAAAAGAGATTAATGAAGCTATTCCCTGGTGATGGATATCTTACAGCATCCTAAATCAACTTTGGAAGCAGGATTTGCAAATATCAAGTGGATAGGGATTAGTCTCCAAAAAGCAGCTGGATTTTGCCTTTTCCCCTTATTATTTTGACTCGTCTTTGGCAGTTTAGGAGGCTTGGACCTAAACCTGAAAGCTGACACTGCTTTCCTGACACTGAGTTTTGACACTAGTCTTATAAACCTTCAAAGTCTGCTTCTCTCATTTGTTTTGCATCTGTAACTGTACATTTAGTGGAACTTTTAAAAATAGAGAAAGAAGAATGTCTTTAACTTGAAAAGTTATTCTTTGAAGTGATCCTTTTAGAACACATGATTGGGCAGAGAATGGACAATTTCTTGGACTTTTTCCTTTGGATTTTTTTTTTAGCATGTTCTCATGGGTTGCTCTATTCTATTCTATTCTATTCTATTCTATTCTATTCTATTCTATTCTATTCTATTCTATTCCATTCCATTCCATTTCAATTCCATTCCTATTCCTATTCCTATTCCTATTCTAAATAGTGTCCAATATTTTCTTGAAAACCTCCAGTGATGGACTTCCCACAACTTCCAAAGGCAAGTTGTTCCATTAATTAATTGTTTTCCCTCTCAGGAAATTTCTTCTTACTTCCAAGTAGAATCACTCTTTAGGAGATAACTTCCCATTCTGTTTCTTAATATTAATACGGATTCGAGCTGTTGGATTTTGTCCAAGCCAGTCCCTTAGATTTTGACGCCATGATATTCTTCTTCTTCTGCCTGGATCTCCTTTGCCTTCAATCTTTCCTTGGAGAGGATTAAGTGAAGTAGGGCTGTATTTTTCCAGGGTGTCGCATCACATATCCAAAATATTCTAACTTTTGGGTTTTTTTAATGGTTTTTGAAGATTCCCCTTGGCTTTCCCAAGCAGCTATTTCTGCATGCAACTTTTGATATATATATTTTTGGAAGCTTCTTTGACCAACCGGAGGAGTTCATGCTGGCCTTAGCCTGAAGGATCTTTCTCCCCCCCCCCCCAAAAAAAAGGAAGGCTGAATTCTTAGAAAAGCTCTCAGGTGGATTTCTTTAGATAAGCTGGGAGGGGGGGGTTCACTTTAGCATCTCTGCCTTCCAACTGATAATGATGTCCTGGAGGAACAGGAACGATGTTGGTCTGTTGCAAGTGGCATCTGCCTGCAAATTCCCCCTTCCCCCTTTTGGAGGCTGGTGCGGGGTGGGGGAGGCAGCCAGATGGCAGATGGCCTCTTAAGGCAATCACTTGAGGTTGGGTCTCTAGAGAGAGAAGAAAAAAGAACCTTTAACCCTTCGTCTTCTGGGAAACATGGCTAGAAAAAAACCGGCGTGCTGAAGAAAGCCTTAGTAAGTCCACACCTAGAGTACTGCATCTAGTTTCGGTCACCACACTTATAAAAAAAGATCTTGAGACTCTAGAAAAAGTACAGAGAAGAGCAACCAGGATGATTAGGGGACTGGAGACTAAAACATAGGAAGAACGGTTGCAGGAACTGGGCCTGGCTAGTCTAGGGAAGAGAAGGACCAGGGGAGGCAGGATAGCAGTCTTCCAATATTTGAGGGGCTACGGCAGAGAGGAGGAAGGGGTCTCAAGCTATTTTCCAAAGCCCCCGAAGGCCAGACAAGGAATAATGGATGGAAACTGATCAAGGAGAGATTCAGCCTGGAAATAAGGAGAAACTTTCTGACAGGGAGAACAACCAGCCATTGGAACAGAAGTTGCCCTTGGAAGTTGTGGGAGCGCCATCACTGGAGACTTTCAAGAAGAGATTGGACAGCCATTTGGCAGAAATGGTGTAGGGTCTCCCGCTGGGTGTGTGTGTGTTGGACTAGATGACCTACAAGCTCCCTTCCAACTCTGATTATCTGTAAATTATCTGTAAACTTCTGGCTGTGCAGATAGAGACCTCTTCCCCTGGAGTACGTTCCTCGTTTGGCTAATTAATCTCTCTTCCCCCCCCCCACCTGCCCTTGTTCTCTGACCTTTGATGTTAATTGATACCAAGTGGTCTTTAATTCTCATCTCGCCCCCCCCCTCCTCCCCTGCTCTTGTTCTTGGGGGCATCTGCTCAGCGAGGGGAGGAAGAGGAAGAGGAGGAGGCGGAGAAAGGATGCCGGCTGGTGAACCGCCTGGCCGCCTGTTTGCCATCTGCTTCCACCCTGAGCTCCTTCTCCACCCCGGCCGAGCAGAATCCTTAATGAACTGGGGGAGCATCTGTCCCAAGGGATGCGTGCGTGTGGTTGTGTGAATGGTAGGGAAGGGAGGAACAAGAGATTTGGGGAGGGGGCAACAAGAGGGAACAAGAAAGGAAGCTGCTCGGTCCCTCACAATTAAGAGCCTGGCTTTTGTTGAGTGATCCTTGACCCGAAATTGGAGCTGCACATGGACATTTCGAGGGGATGCTGGGAGCAAGCCAGATTCCTAATGGAAACAAACCCCCCACCCCCCATGTACTGCTCACCCCCAGAGAGATGGAAGGTGGAGAAGAAGGGAATGCAAGCAGAGGCTGGGATGACTGGGATGGGTGGGAAAGACTGGGAGAGGAAAGAGTTTGCCTCCTCAGAACAAGGAGTTTTTTCCCTGCACTCCCTGGCTGCCATCTGCCTCTTCGCTTGGGCTTATCCCCGTATTGTCGGTAACCATCTGAGGACGCAGCTCAGCTTGGTTTCCTCATCTCTCTGTTCAGTCGGAGTCTGGTTGAAGTAGAGTTCGATGCAGGCCCGTATGCATAGGGGAGGCAGAGCCGAGGATGCAAACTGAACGGAAGGGAATTCAAGTTAAATTAAATAATTAATGGAGTAAAATAAAACAGTGAGGTAAAGTAAAATAAAGTAAAATAAAACAGTGAGGTAAAGTAAAATAAAGTAAAATAAAATAGTGAGGTAAAGTAAAATAAAACAGTGAGGTAAAGTAAAATAAAATAGTGAGGTAAAGTAAAAATAGTGAGGTAAAGTAAAATAAAACAGTGAGGTAAAGTAAAATAAAATA